CAACGCAAATCACCCGTTCAGTGTAGTCCCTAGTAGGGACCCTTACATTAGTACCTGATTCCCAAAGGAGTGTATTCTCATCGAACTTCTGATGAAGCTAGGAAAATCCATCAAAACTGAGCACGTTCAAGTTCTAAGAATAGGAGGACAACTTCTGAAGGGAATGCTCTTCCTCATCGTGTGATCCGACCGCCTTGCTCAAGGGAAAGGGAACGGCCCATGTGACCTCAGATGTGGGGCGGTGCTTCAAGATACTATTACGGTGGTAACTTCCCAGAATCGACCTCTTCGATCGAATGTTCGTTAGTGTGCACCTGGTCCCAGTTACATTGGCCAACTCCTCCTCTACAGGCCGCTTCTATTGATGGGATTCTGTAATGCACTTTTTTCACCGTAGAACACCCAAGTTCTTCAAATTTGATTAAATTCAAACTAGCCATAACATAGTCCCTCACACAGGAGCTTGGAAACTTCACGAATTAATATCACTTCCTCATAAAAAGAACTGATTTACTGTTTTGCCCTTCGCCTCTTTAAAAAATTTCCAATGCAGAAGGAATAGTAACTGATCGTACTTACAATTCTGCTTCTTCCTGGAATTGGAGAATGTCATATTGTCAAATCATGTCATATTTACCTTGTGGCATGTACTAAAGAAATGAGGGAATTGTCAAACTTTGTGAAATTCAGCGCTCCAATCATAATGCAGTGTCCGTGCGTCCCGTGACGATTTGAGCTACCGTACCTGTGTTGCACCCAAATTTTCCCGATTTTTTATTCCCAACATCGTTTTCAACGTTTTCGTCAAGCGTTCTGTTAGTAAATTTTGAGAATATAACAATGATTCCAAAAACGGATGAGTGGTCCCGTTTTTTGGAGCGTGATTTGAACTTTCATTTCTTACCACATAAGAGGTAGTTTATTCTCAAATTTACTTGCGTCGTTGAACGACCAGGTACGTCTCTGCCGAGCTCGTGTGTGATTTTAATTTTACAATAACATTTGCAAATTAGTTTTTTAGTAGCAAACATGGTCAAGGAATTCAGTCCACGAGGCGGAGGTGGAGGTGAGACTTCTAATGAACCTATGAATTCCTTTGTTTTTTTCTTCGTTTAGATTTTTTGTTTTCTCCAATTTTTGGTGGTCAGCATACGTCATTTATTTGAAATTCTTTCGCTGGTCTAGTCTTTGCTACTTGTTCTAGACAATTTTATATTACTAAGAGTGAGGAATTAATTTTGGGTAGGCGTTACTGTCCCCGCAATTCCGATGGCGACCGAAAGAAGGATCTCATATTTTTCTATAGGTAGTGGTCGGCTCGTTACGAAGGGTTGATTAGGTCAATTGTAGAACTGCTATTCCCACCTCAACTTGCTTTTCCCATTTATTCATCCGTTTCATTAAGTGCAAAGGAGTAGACGAATAATTGCACCACATGAGAAAGTTGAGCAAGCTGAATATAATAACATCTGCTTGTCATATTGAAAAGATAAGCCCAGTGTCGGGCGAAATCATGATTGTGGGGAACCTTTATAACTGAACTAACCAAGTGTCTTTCCACTCGCTATACAGTGCCCATGAATGATGGTTGCAAAAGGCACTTTGTCTTTTTTCGAGATTCACGCATAAGTTCTAACAATAACGAGGATATCTGTAAGGCGTTTGTGAAAGAGCCCCTAATGGACCATCTATGTAGTTATCGAACGAACAGTAGCATGGAAACGGCTGGGCGACAGGGATGGGTTCGAGAAATACGAAGATGCCATTCTATATGGTCATAAATTCGAGAGAATTGGTGTGATGTCGCTTACGGGGAAATTGGCTAGTTAGAAAATCTAGATTTTCAGGAAGTAAACAAGAGATGGTTGATAAAAACACAGAAAATACCAATGAAACACTGCAAAAGATTTAGCAAATTCGGTTTTAAACATTCACGTTTTCGTAGGGTTGGTCCTAGCCAGGTGTATAATATAAGGGTTTGAATTAGTTCAGTGAGCCTTACCCATCGCTTTTCGAAAGCTAGTATGTTGCTGTTTCAGGTTTCCGCGGTGGTGGCGGCGGCTTCAGAGGTGGTGACAGAGGAAGTGGTGGCGGTTTTCGTGGGCGAGGTGGAGACCGCGGCGGTGGTTTCCGTGGAGGTCGAGGTGGTGATAGAGGTGGATTTCGTGGAGGCCGAGGTGGTGATCGCGGTGGATTCGGCGGAAGGTACGGAAAGTTTTTTCTTGACGTTTGGTGATCATACCTGGTGATTTTTATTTGAATGTTTCAAGAGGCTCACCTCGCGGAGGACGCGGCAGTCCTCGTGGACGAGGATCACCACGAGGTGGGCGAGGTGGTGGCATGCGTGGAGGAAAGACTGTCATCGTTGAGCCTCATCGATACGAAGGTTAGTGTTTGCTGTTGTCCAAAAAACAGTGTCATTTTTTATTTTGACTACGGAACTCCGTCAAAAACTACATTTTGCTCGGCTAACTC